TAGATAGATAGATAGATAGATAGAAGCCCTGTTTGTCCTGGCATGGGAAGGAATCACAGTGTGGATTCCACTTGTCTAGTCCTGAGTTTTTGGCATTACTGTGGCAGTGCAGGAAGGAACAACCATCCCTTTGGCTCTATCATCACTGAAGTAAAATACAAATTAAACAAACAAACAAACAAATAAGTAAGTAAGTAACGCCAACAGCCAGTAGTTCAGCATATTCTTTCTATATCCCCAGTTTAATTCATGGGAGCTTCCAGGCAAGGTTTTATAAGGTTGCAGAGAATAGAGGAAAAGAGGAATTTGGTAGGATCACAAAAGCCCACAAAAATCACTGCAGTGGGGAAAAAGGAGTCTATAACTTTCACTGAAATATCCCTATACTGTATTTACTCCTGTCTGGTTCCATAGTAGGGGGAAAAACAGAATCCCAGAAAAAATGTGGAAGACTATATCTTGATAATAAGATCACTAAGGCCACTGCATAATTGTATAATATGGAGTGTAAATGTGCAGAGTACAACATGAGGAATCCTTCCTGATCCCATCAAGGGTTGTTGAATTGTGTGTATGTGTATGTTTATGCAATTAAACATTTAGTGCTACAAATGCATTCAACAACAGTCATATTCCCATTCCCAGGAGCATACAGGTATGAATTGGTCAGTAAGTCAGTCACCCCTGTATTTTTAAGCTGATATAGAAAATACTTTTTCTCTGACTCATCTCTGTAAGAGAAACCAGTTCGTCTTTTAACCCTGGGCTCAAAAATAGGGCTTTGCTAAACACCCCTTCTCAAAGCATTAAAGCAGCTGCATCGTTTACATGACTCAGACTGCTGTTTCGAAAGTTTCTGCATGGCATCTGCACACACGCCAGACCACCAAAGAGACCTTTTGAAGCAGCTGCACCAGACTTTTGCCTCTTTTGAATCTTTCCTTTTCTCTTTTGAATCTTTACTACAGCCCTGATTTTTTTTTTTTTTTAAATGAAGAGTTGCCCTCTCTTGGCAAGAACTGGTGTACATTACCCTGGCAAAAAGAAAAGTGGCTGCCAGTTTCTTCCATAACCCCTCACTGCCACCTTTCATGCCTTTGTTTTTATTGCACAGATACTTTCATGTGGGAAGTAAAAATAACAAATATGTTTAACTCACACACTTAAAATCCTTCAATAATACACAAAATCCTGAAAGAATAATACAGAATGTGCACTATCACAGGTGGCAAACGTACAATAAGCTTTTCCAGACTGCCAGTTTTTCTGTTTCCTAGAACTTAAAAATGTTCATTTAAATGCTTCCAACTTGTATTTATGTTTTTCAGATCTATGTTGATACGAAAATACTATAATCAAGGGCATGCTTTTATTTCTGGAAGTATAAAACCTGAAGAGTTTTTTTCCACAAAAAGAAAAACATGTCTTCCCCCTTCCCCCAGAAATACGAGTTTGTAATTTGTCTTGTGTTTACCCCCCTCTCTAAAATTCAGCCCTCTGAGAGGATACTGGAGGGGGAGCAGGGTGTTCGAAAATGGGAAAAATGATTGTAAAATCTGCAATGTATCATTTGCCATGGCGATAGAGCAGCAAACCTGGATAGAAAAGCCTGGAATAGATACAATAATAGGGGCAGGACTCCATCTAAACAGCTTTCTGAGCAGCTGTAATTGTGGGTGCATTTGACTAAAGCAGGAAGTAGGGTGAAAAAAGATGCATTTTTAATAGTTTATACCCAAATGCCAGAAAGTTGGTTGAAGGTGCTGTAGAAGCCCTAGTCTGACCATGCAGGAGTTAAATGCAGGACAGGGCCCGTGATTTCCCTGCAATGGAAAACAGGCCACCCCAACTACCTGCAGGAGTGTGGCCATGAACGTAATACTGGTGATGTTAAGAGGTTAAAGCTAAAATGTTTTTTTCTCATCAGGAGAAATGTGGTGGGAGAGGAATCTTACTACAGATGGGAAGGCTATGGTGTCATGAAAACTGCCTGTAGGCAAGAGATTTTGCTGGTAAATTAATACAGCTGTCTGGAAGTGCACAACGTGTGTTTGTCTGTGGTGAAAAATTAATTGGCCTTAGGTTCCTGCAGCATGTGTATGAGGCAAAATAGACATGAATAGATGTGATTTCTACACATGGGACACATATTAGTTCTTTCATAGAAGTGAATGCATCTTTAGGGATGTGACACAGAAACTATTGCATTTTGCTAGAACATCTCCATCAGTAAGCTGGGGTAAGGATTGATTTTTTTTTTTAATTTTCCATCACCTTATCTTTTTAAAGATACTTAGTATGATAATTCATTAATTATAATTAATAATATTAATATTTCATTAACAATGGGAAAATGGAGAGTTCTTGGAGTACATGGATGAGTGTTTGGTAAAATAATCAAATATACATCCCTTGCCTCCTCCTTTCTTTAATGTGGATATGAATTCAGAACACTAAAAAACTGGGAAATGGGAACTCTGAAACTGCATCTGCACAATCAGAATGAATCTAGATTCAGGTCAGATCTAGATTTAACAACCTGAAAGTAAGAGAGGCTAACTTGCAACTGGATTCCAATGGAAGAAAATATATGGGTTGAACTGTTGGGTTCTTGGTGGTCTCTGAGCTTGAATGCTTTCTTGCAGACGTTTCATTACCAGGGTAGGTAACATCATCAGTGTGAGGGAGAGTGGGGTTTGCTGGCTATTAATATATGGTAGTTTGCCCTGCCAGTCTTGGTGCAAGTGTGGCTCTCTCCTTGATGGTCCCTTAATTAGGGTACAGGATTGTTTCTTCCCTAATTGTTTATCTGGTGCTGTTTCCTGCTTATCTGAGTGTTGGCTGCTGGAAGGGATGTGTTCTAGGCTGTTTGTTTCCTTCCTAGGCTTTTGATTGCATTTTTTAAAAGGCCTGTAAATGGGGTTTATGTCTATGATCCATTGATGACTGATTTGTCTGAATGCCAAGCTTCTAGGAATTCTCTAGCATTTTTGGATTTGGCTTGATCTAAAATATTAACGGTTTCCCAGTTGAAACTCTGGTTGAGTCTGTTCAAGTTTAAAGGACATTTTTCATGTCTTCTGGCTGCCAGTTGGTATTCATGGATGCAGCCTGCCAGTCTGGCTTGGGTTGTAACACCTCAGGCTGTAGACTGTATAGGCTGACTGCTTCTCCATTTTGCCTGCCCTTTTTAATTTTCCCAAGCAAATAAACATTTTGGAACCAGTTAGTTGCTGCAATACATTTTGTCCTCAGAATATTTTCTTGATTTCACAGTGTACTACTCTTAGAATACCCTTTTAACAGTAGAGGGCTTTCTTGCAAGACCAAGCCTCAGTGCTAAAGTGGAAATGATGAAATGAAACGTCTTCATGTTAGTCCTCACCCACTTAAAACATGTGCACACACACACACACACACACATTCAAGTCTCAGGCAATATATTTTTGGCTTCCACATAAGAGAAGCTTGCTTGCTTCTCAGGAGTCATCTGAACTAGGTGAAAGTCAGCTCAAAAATAATAGCATTAAATACATTGAGTCTTTCTGTTCCATGTCCAGGTTCAGTGATGCTTTAATAATCTCTGCATGTGTGAAAATTTATCTTCTGAGGTTTGATGACACACCTGAGACGCAGCTGGAAAACACAGAGCAATATTTGAGGGAAAATTCCAGTTGTCTAGCTAAGATTTTTGCTGAGAAACAAAGGCCACAGCAGCCATCTTGTTGCTGCTGTCTGCTCAAATGTGTTCTGTACAACAAGGCCTTGAAGTAGTTCCATCCATGTATGGCCACTTTCTCTGGGAGAAAACTTGTTTTCCAATGTGGACAACAATCTAAGGGACTTCAAAGTCATGCTGTGCATTTGCACAATCTGAGTGGCACTCAGTGAGGATGTTTGTTTGTTTACTGAACTTATATGGCTGCCTATCTCAGGTTATGACTGAGCTTTTGTCTCTTCCAACTTCTTACTCTTCTTATTCTTTCTAAGACCCTGGTGCCCTCTCAGTGTGTTAGAGAAGGCACCACCTTGGGGAAGACTGTTTTCAATTATAACATAGCCTAATTCTGCAAATAGGTATTTTCTCTTCCAGAGCTCTGTGATGGTTCTTGTGAATAACAGAGCCCCACGTGTTTCCCTGTGTTTGCCAGACAGATAGAATATCTGTTGTCATTTCAGACTACCAGTCCTTTTATGATAGATGCTCACAAATGAGTTCAGAGCCACGCTTCAGAAATGAGCAAGTGCTTCCAAGAGCCACAGCTCACTTTTACATCCTTCTAACCACTGCACTGATTGCCTCACTGACAGCTACAGCTTCTTCATAAGGAACAAACTGGTTAATTAGAAGCCAGGTGTAAAAGTCCCAATCCTGTAGAAAGCAGCCAGATGTTTCCATCTATAGCTGGTACAGGCATCTCAAAAGTCCTCTGCTACTGGGCAGAAGGCCATATACTCCACTGCTAATCCTGGGATGTTTCCTCTTTCCTCTTTCATGGGTGGTAGCTGGCTGAGAATTAATTCCTCCAGAAGAGGAATTTGACATGGTGTCATTGATCACAGGCTAAGACTTTTGTTCCCTTCTTTGAGTACCCTAATTGCCCAGGTACTTTGTCTCTTTATAAGGAGGGATGGTTGACACAACCTGATTGGGCAGGACTGAGTCATTTCCTGGTGATGTTTCTAAAGCTGGGAGTCTCAAGAGTGGCATCGCTGTGTATGGGAACAGACCTAAGTGAGATAGAGGACCTTCCTCATCTGTGGCACTCTTTCTATATGTGCTATAGTGATGGATACCTGTACTGGACATAAGGGTAGATCTCTAAGATCTCTTACAACACTTACATTCTATGATTATCAACCAATTTTCTCAAAAGCTTTGTATTTGGTGCTCTTATCTTCAGGTATAACTCCAAATGTATGCCTCTTTGGTCCTTTACAAGTGACATCCCACTAAATTTTTCATTTGTTATTTACATTTCCTTTTTTTCTTATTACAGGTAGAAGATCAAGGTGTTCATGGGTGGTTTTCTAAAAGGCACAGCCATGACAGAACTGGAAGATCCTCAAAGCCAAATGTAACAAGCCGTGTTCTGCCATGGAATGAGCAGGTCAGTGATACTTTGGCCCAGCATAACTATGGGCACTGCATTGGTTGCCAGTACACTTCTGATACAGTTCAAGGTGCTCATTGTTACCTACAAAGCCCTATATGGTTTGGTACCTGCAGGACTGTTGACCTGTCCAATGCAGGCTTCCCAACTAGCAAAGTTAAAAGCCCCCTCCCATGTCAGATTTGGGGAGGGGGAGCAAGGAACAACGTTTCTCAATATGTGCTCCATGCCTATAGAATACTTTAACTGCAAAAAAGAGTATAGAACCTTCTCTGATGGCTTTTAGGACAGTCAAAACTGAATTGTTCTTGAGAACATTTGGCAGCCCATGTGGATGAGCTTGATGACAAAGGGGGCATTATTGCTATCAGTTTTACTGTATGTTGTGGAATTTATTTTTTATTATTGGATTCTGTGTAAACCAACAGAGGCCTACATGGAGTTAGCAGTATACAAATGTTATGATATATAAACAGACTATACCTCTAGGTTGTCTATACCCTCAGCCTTTATTCTGGAATTCATGTACTTGGTAATAGACTCTCAGACACAACTTGGCTAGTGTAGATGCTTTATTGTAGATAAAAACAAAGCCAAATACAATAAAATATGTGCTTATTCAAGCATAGCCTGTATATATGCACCAGAGTTTAAATTCTAACTTTTTTTATCCTGCCTTTCCCAGTCAACAGATACTTGGCCATTCTCTTCAAGGGCACATAAGGCAGTTGAGTTTTGCTGACAATGGTTCTCCCTAGACTGGGAACCACTGGTTTCTGCTATGCTAATGTCATTCCCACCACTAGGGAAAAGATAATTTGGAGTTAGTGATTTGCAGGGAGAACATTTAGAAAGTATTGTTAAAAGGAAATTTGAAAAATTAAAGTGAAATCATTAAATGGTTGGGGCTAACCCAAACCATGGTTTGTCAAATAACCCAGAGCAATCTGGATTTGTAAATGACACTAAGCCATAATGAATAGGTTCAAAGTCACATAAAACCAACATCAGTCTAATCATATTATGGCTTAGTGTTTTATGTGTACCAGCCTGATGCAATCCACTGAACTACCAGTGAAATGAATGAGAAACGTAAAGGAAAATAAGAACATTTGTTCAGTTTCTACTCTGATGCTTCATAGAAGTTTCACAATGGATTTCAGCATCTGATGTCAAGCTTCCGTTGTCTGCCAAAAGAGTGCAACAGCCTGTGAAGTAGACTAATTCTTTCACTGAGGAGACCATTGTTTCTTGAAATGATCTTACAATAATTGAACCTTTCTTGAAGGTTTATGTTCATAACAGCTAAACAATGTTTTTAAATGCTGTCAAGGAGGCTCTATAATTAGTTTAGGCATATAAATAAGATATAATTCATTCAATTCCCTCCTCTTTGATCCAGCCCACCTCCTGCTGAATCTTTAGCTGGGTTTTATTTACAGGGTTTGGAATAATATTCAGTATTGCAACACAGATACTTCCACCTAGGCATTTCAGATGCTGTTTGGCTGCCACCATGACAGGAAGAAGAAAACATGCAGAGAAGCTGTTGTTAGAAATGCATTCAGGCGACTGGGAAAACAGGAGAGGAGGTTCTCAAGGGAAAAGGCTGCAGTTAGATTACAGAGGGAAACCTGGAAGTTGCATTACAAATTAGCAGAACCTCTAGCTTAGTCAGTATCAGCAGCAGCCAGACAGAAGAAGTCTGGGATGTGCCACAAACGATAATAAATTTAGTTCATTGTTTTGTCAAGTGCTTAGGTCTTCATAGGAGACGGGTCAGCATCTGAACAGTAGCTTTGTGCAAAATAATGTCTGTCATGATGTGCGTGATGTTTGTTTAAACATTAGTTTTAAACACTGACTTTTCACTAGAAGATACTGTGCTGGGCTACATCAGGGCTTTTTGTTCCGTCTCAGCCACTTCTTTTTCTTTCCATAGCCTCAGTTTCTGTGACTTTAATGAAGCTGGTGATCCAGTCCTCCATTTCAAGCATCACAGTGATACCTAGGGGGTAGCAGTTGAGGTGTGCCAGGTTGTAATCCTCAGGCTTGAATGCAAGACGCTAGCAAGATTATTAATCACTGCCTGGATGGGACTGTGATTGCAACAGAGATATTAAGAAAAGGAGAGGCCCATTTTCAGCATGATTGTGGATTCAGGAGTTGCTGTGCTGTACCTCACATTTGTCAGTGGTGAATGGTTGTTGACTGCGATGGCCCCTGGTTTTTACCTTCAGCCAGAGATGCCAACATTCTTGGAAACAAATGTTAGCCATATAGTGTGTAGCAGCAAGAGCTCATTCAGTGTCAGGAGGAAAGTTTTCTCAGCAGAATCATCTCTGTAAACACAGCCTTCTTTTATATGACTATTCCTATTGCTTCCTTTAGAGGAAACATGGGTTTTCAAGAGTTGCAGGGCTTTCTCTGAGTTGGCACCACCCTTTGGAACTACCTCATTAGGATTTTTAAGAAATAGTTGGAAAACATTTTGAGCAGGAGTCGATTTAATCTTTTCAGGATCTGTTATACACAATTTTACAATGTTTTTTGATTTTTTCAGAGTCTATTTTTATATATAATTTTATTAAAATAGTAT